CTGTAAATGTTTCTGATGCCATGTTGGTGTGAGCAAGTAAGAGAAACCAGAACTTTGATTTTCTGGGTTATTGAAACTTGTGGTATACTATATTGTTGTTGTCGCTGTTGTTTAGTCATGTCCGACTGGTGCCCCCCTAGGTCCTGGTGTAAGATTTCCTTCTACAAAACTACACTTCCCAGGCTTCAGTTAGGATAACAATAATCCATGATCAATTTCACACCCTTTATGATACATTGGTCACTTGTCATCCCTGCTCTTTAACAAGCTGTGCTTATTTCGGTCTCTTGCAGTTAGTGATGGAATACTGCTTAGGATCTGCTTCAGATTTGCTGGAAGGTAAGCCTTGAAATATTCCTACCACATTTCTTTGTCAGTATGGCTGCGATTTCGGGAAGAGTTGCTTACCTTCGCAGCATTTCATGGGTTCCACATTTCACTGTCTAATTGTTCCCTCTTTAGTTTATGGGTAGATTCTGTTACTTGCAGTACATTTGGATCTGTCTAGTTGTTTCTTTCCACCATTTCCACAGTGACTTGCAGGTTACTGAGTTAAACTAATGTATGTCTCTCAACCGATGACTTGTAAAGGTTTCAGTGGTGGCCAGGAGTGTGTTGGCATAATTAAAACTAGTACACCAGCTGAGCCCATTGCTGGAGAGGTCTGATCTGGCCATAGTGACACATGCCCTAGTTACATCGTGGCTGGATTACTGTAACATGCCTATGGAAAATGTCAGGAAACTTCAGTGGATCCAACATATATCAGCTCCACTGGTTGACAGTTTGCTTCCAGACAGAATTCAAAGTGATGGTTCTAACACCCTAAATGGTTTGGGCCCAATCTATCTCAGGGAGCATGTCTCACATTATGAGCAGGCATGGTTGTTAAAGATCATCAGAAGAGGCATTTCTCTTGGTCCCACCACCTTCACAGGTATGTCTGATGGGGAGGTGGAACAGGACCTTCTCTGCGGCTGGAGTATAACTTGGATGTCCCAAATCCAAACTTCACCAAACCTGGAGGGGGTGGAGAGGAGAGTCATCTGAAGACTCTCTGTGAGTTTGGCATCTCTAAGTCCCTCAGATGCATGGCTCCTCAAATTCCCAAATTGAAGGAACCATGAAGCAGTTCGGGTTTTTTTGAAAATGTGTTCTAATTTGTTGTTCATAATTGGTGGGAAATGATGAATCATCATGAACTGCCAATTCCCCAGTTTGTGCCCATCTCTAAGTGTGATCAAAAGGAGCATGCTAGAGATGGGGAAACTACACAACCATGAAAGAGTCAATGATAAATAAAGTAATAAATAAAGTAATAAATAATCTGGTTTTCATCTAGGATCTAGATTAAGACACTCACTCCTCCTTGTAGCCAACTGCTCCAAATACTGCATATCAACAGTTTTTATGATTCAGGAGGCCAGATTTAATCCTGGAACTGCTAGGTGCTGACTTCTATTGAGTGATATTTCCTTACTTACTGATCATCTTCACTCAGGATCAACATACCCTCTTGTTGTTCTTGTTCTCCTCTGGCGCACCTTCCCTGTGTATAATTTTAAACTCCCCAAAGATTCACATCCACTCCCTTCATTTGAAGAAATGTGTTTGGACATACAGCAGCTTATGAAAAATAAGAATTAGTCTTGAAGGTGCTACAAGACTTCCAGCTAATGTTGTGATTGGCATGAGGCAGTTTACTGCTCTTTCTGCCCCAGGATTGCATGAGACAATGTTTGTCCAATGTTCTTTCTTTGTGCTTTCCCCCCCTCATTCAGTTCATAAGAAACCACTTCAGGAAGTGGAGATAGCTGCTATTACCGATGGTGCCTTGCATGGGCTGGCTTACCTGCATTCTCATTGTAAGATACATAGGTGAGAGCATGATGTTATTTTTTAAAAATATATACTGTTATTTTTCTTTCTTTTATTTTTCATCTAACTCATGGAGGTAATGTTCAGACTGAGTGATTTGTACTGCTCACCCCAAAAGATTAGAGTTGCAGTCTGAGGACACTTTTTGATCCAATTTTCTTTGGATATCTAACTGGCATCACATTTCTTCAGCAAATGTTTGCTGCAATTTATCCAGAAGAGAAAAACATTACAGCAGTGCCTCGCTTTACGATCGCTCCGTTTAACAACAAAACTGCATTATGATGAACTTTTTGGGATTGCTTTTGCAATCGCTTTACTATGTCTCCCATGGGGGAATTTCGCTTTGTGATGATCGGTTCCCTGCTTTGGGAACCGATTCTTCGCAAAACCATGATGTTCGGACAGCTGATGGGTGGTTGTAAAATGGTCGCCGGGTAAACAAAATGGCCCCCCGCTGTTTTCTGGGATGGATTCCTCGCTGCACAGGCAGCAAGAAATGGCCACTCTATGGAGGATCTTCGCTGGACGGTGAGTTTCCAGCCCATTGGAATGCATTAAGTGGGTTTAAATGCATTTCTATGGGCTTTTTAATTTCGCTGTACGACGTTTTCGTTCCACAGAGATTTTGCTGGAACGAAATAACATCGTAATGCAAGGCACCACTGTAGATGTTGTTCAAATCTAACACCCGGATTTGACTTCTGCTTGCTTTCCACACAAGGCTGCCTTTGAAAAACATCATTTTGGAAGATATAGGTCAGCAATGGCAAACCTATGGCATGCGTGCCACAGCTGGCATGCAGAGTCCTTTCTGCCAGCTCGCAAGCCATAAGTCGCCGGCTCACTACTCCCCACAGACAGAGCCAAACCTGAGAAGGTGGCTGTAGCCATGGTGCTGGCGCTTCAGCAGGTGGGTCCGGAGCAGCTAGTGCTGGCAGTGGATCCAGAGTGGGGTCTCGAGGCACCTCTGTGCCTGGGATTCCCCTTTCTGGTGCCACCACTTCCAGTTTTTTCACCACCACCAGTTCCGGTTCCGCTGCCGCCACGCCACCTGCTGGTTCCCCCCCCCTCCAGTTTGGGCACGTGAGCCCAAAAAGGCTCGCCACCACTGCTATAGGTGGTTCAAAATACAGCTTTTGGATAGCTGACTGGACTTGGCTGGGTGTAACACATATCATCAATTCTTAAATGCCTTCACTGCCTGCTGGTCCGTTTCCAAGTTTAATTCAGAGCCCTAGTGCTCAACGTTTAAAGCCCCAAGGTTAAGTCCTTTCTTCTAAGACCCTCCTTTAGATGCCCCTTCCTTCTAGTAAAGGTGGCACCAGGAGGAGAATTGCTTTGGTTCTGATGCTCGATTTGCCGGATGTTCTTCATAAGAGGCTTGCTTAGCATCAGGCCTTATCTAATTCTAGCACTAGGTGAATATTGTACTTACCCAAACCATTTATAATGCCTTTAGATCAGTGTCCCTGCTGACATATTTTCCTTACCATACTGCTGATTGTTCTTCTTTTAATTGCTGATTGCTGCTCTGGGAGTTTTCAGACCAAAAGGCAGGGTATTGAATATTTTAAGAAGAATGGCTTAATAAAATAAGGGATATTCATTTATATATTTATTTCAATATTTAGTTAGTTGATTCATAACCCACTTCATTCCCCAGTCTGAGATTTAAGGTACCTTACTGAAGGATAGAGCAGCAATAGTAATATTAGCTTCCTGCAGTCTCATATAAAAGGGATGTAGTGTGTCATAATTTAAGGACTCAATGCAGGCAGCTATGAAATCATGCACTTTCAGAGAACCCCTCCTAGCAAATTATAGAAACCAGCCAACCAAAGTGATGTTGATCATATACCTGAGGTTGAATCCATTTATATGTTGTATAGCCTGGTTCTGTACAAAAAACATAACTTCACAGAAGTGTCATTATTGGTTGATGGCATTATGCTAATTGATGTTTGAAGGGGCCCCTGCTTTGTGCATTTAATCTCTCATATTACTTCTTAATGCCAGCAAGCAGTTAAAAGTAAAGGTCACTCAAACTGTCCCATCTAACAGTAGTCCAATTTGAACTTGCCTATTTTAAATGTACAGAGAGTGCTACATTTAATTACATTTAATTGTGGCCAATAGCCATTTAGGCGGACAGATTCTGGAATCTGTAGCCCAGAAAAGCAGTTTTTCCATACTTGGCTCTGAACCTTATTCTAGTTTTCCATTCCTCACACTTGTATTGTTCTCATAGACCAGTGGTTTCCAGCCTTGAGTAACCCAGGTATTCTTGCACTTGCAAAAACTGTTAGCTGTGCTGGCCAGGGTTTCTGGTTGTTACAGTCCAAGAACACCTGGGTTGCCCAAGGTTTGGAACCACTGTCATAGACCATCATCCCATCCCTTTGTCAAACAGACCTAACACTAGCTACACCAGAGAAGGTGATTCTGTGTTCTACAGAGATGCTGGGTTTGCCTCTTGTCCCTTTTGTTTTATTCACTTAAAGGAATGAGTAAGTTGAACTACACAGGAGGAGGACCTGGACAGTGCTCATTGATTGTGTTTTAATTATACATGGACAAAGAGTGCTAGAAGTATGCCATAAGAGGGCAGGTGTCCTTGAGATTGAGTCCTACTTTGAGAGTCCTACCCTGTTTCCCCGAAAATAAGACAGGTTCTTATATTAATTTTTGCTCCAAAAATGCATTAGGGCTTATTTTCAGGGGATGTTTTATTTTTGTTGTCTACAACCAGCTATATTAATACAAATGCAATCATGTCATCTTCTGGTTGCTGCACAATGGTGGAGGGCGGGGTTTCACTTAACTGGGGCTTATTTTGGGGGTAGGGTTTATATGACGAGCATCCTGAAAAATCATACTAGGGCTTATTTTCAGGTTAGGTCTTATTTTATGCAAAACAGGGTAAATTAGGAGCCACTCTGCCATTAGTTTCACAATTTCCTATCTGTTGGTTAAGATTTCCAGAGGGTAGCATAAAATTGCAGGATTCATTTATAGGATGAGCACCTATTATAAAGAAATTCTGTTTGTAACCATGACTGTGGTTTCCTTCCTTCTGTTCAAAAGGGATATTAAAGCAGGAAATATTCTCCTAACAGAACCAGGTCAAGTGAAGCTAGCTGATTTTGGGTCTGCATCTATAGCCTCTCCTGCCAATTCCTTCGTGGGGACTCCATACTGGTAAGTGAAGCGGGAGCAGAACTTTTATCTTTTGTTAAAACAAAAAGGTCTTGGAATCTTGATCTGCCATGTCCAGTCTGGGAATTTAAGACTGACTGAGGGCTCATTCAGATGGGCATTTGTCCTGCTTTTTGGTATGTTGGGGTGATGGATGGATTCACTCTTTTTTCCAGCAACTAAATGACAAATGGACCAATTTGCTCCCAAGGCAGTGGAATCTGCATCTCTTTGATCCCCTGTCAGATGTGTCTACATTTTTGGTGTGGGCTGGTTTAGTCCATTCTCGGCTACCAAGGTTACTGGTTTGAATTTCTGGGATTGTGAAGTGGCTTAATAAAATAGCAGCTTCAGGATACAGTGGACTCTTGACTTACAGACGTCTTGACTTACAGACTTTTTGAGTTACAGACTTCTCTGGCCACAAAATTTAGGTTTGACTTGCAGACTGAGATTTGACTTACAGACCAGAAAAAAACCAAAATGGAACAAAAACGGCCTGTTACGGGATTAATCGTTTTTCAATGCACTGTAGGTCAATGGAGACTTGACTTACAGACTTTTTGACTTGAGAACCGCCTTCCAATACAGATTAAGTTCTCAAGTCAAGACCCCACTGTATTGGCAAATTGAAATTATTATAATTTTGTTTCTGCTTACTGCTGATGTGCTGAATCATTTAGATTATTTTTTAAAGAAAAATTCTTGACTTTGTGTGAAGGGCTGGTCAAAACCACACACAAGGCAAAGAAAAACATTTTAAAAAAATGTAATCTAAGTGATTCAGTGCATTGGCAATGGTCTAACACATGCAAACACTGCAGAGGAGCATAGAAAGGGTTCAATTGACAGCAGAAGAGGCCAGAGGGTTGCTTATGGTCCAGATGCCATTTGGACACAAATATCACACCAAATGGCATATTACTCCTTCCCTCAACCTTAAGTGACCCCAGCAGCCAAAAGGGCCAATTTAGACTTTTCCTTAGTTTTCTTATGAAACTATGCCATACAGTTCGCTTCCCAGAGTTGAATGAAGTGTTCAGGAGGCACATTAGTAGGAGTTAAAAAATAGCAACTCTTTAAGTGCTTAGCCCTGGTACATTATGTTCATGTTATTGTCACTGATGTTTGTTCGTGTTCCATGTCATCATTTCCTCTAACAACAAACTCATTACACCTCCACACATATGTACCTATAGGACACAGTGACCCATGATCCCCCCCAATCTCATATGATCCATTGTCCTGTGGACCTTCTGTTCAAGTGTGAGACTGGAGTGGGTGGCACCTGTTGTAGCTGCATGTCTTAATGCCACCTAAAATTTGCTTGTTTAAAACTCGCCATCTGATCTTACCTGCTGAGCTTCTCTGGATAGGAAGGCTCCGTCCTTGACAAGTTTTCCTTGAGGGATTTGTGACTTCCATGTTGGAAATCAACGTGGGGTGAAGTCAAGTTGCAAGCTTAAATGTCTCTTCACACCAGGGGTAAAGTTTAATTGCTAATTCGAGTAAATCCTTGAGTCGAAATATATTCCCTTAGCTGCCGTTTGGCCATCTGTTAATGTGGCATTAGTTTTAAACAAGGGTGGGAAGTCATTGTTTTTCTCTTCACCTTGGCTCAGCTAGAAAGCTGACAGGTTTGGTAGTCCTTTTCTTTAGGGAGGAGTCCAGATGGGCTTTCCGTGATCCTGTTTTGCCACTTGTTGGCCAAACCAGAAGCTAACCAAAAGAATCCTGGTCGAAAGGATGCTACTTGGCTATCTGCTCTACAGGTTGTGGTGGACGAATGGAAGGAGATTGGGACTCAGGATTGTGTCTGTTTTGTGTGGGAAGGGCACATCGGCTACAGGAACCTGGCTTAGCTTCAGAAGCTACAGTACAGATGTCTACTCCTTCCACCGCGGACGTCCCTGCTGTTTTTGCCTTGTGCACCGTTGACCTTGGGCTCCCTTTCCCCTCCTGTGTCCTAGATCCCCTTGTCTCTTTCGTGCTTGCACTCCCAGGCTGAGCATCTCCATGAAAACACTGTTGGTGTCTCAATGAGAAAACTCACCCCCAGTGATCAGACTGAAATTGATCCCTTAGGACCCTTTCAGCTCCTCCTGGCTGACTCCAGATACAGTGGCCAAAAAGCTGATGCGGGCCACAGTTCGACACCACTGCCTTAGGACCCTTTCAGCCCCTCCTGGCTGACTCCAGGTACAGCGTCCAAAAAGCTGATGTGGGCTGCCCATCCACCAGCATGCTGCCCTCACAAGAGACTACTAGGTTTTCCTTTTTTATATATATTTGCTGTCCTCATACTTCCTTCCCATCATGTCCTGAAGACCTTTTGTTGCTAAGCAGGAGAGTATTATTTTACAGCATGGCTTAGTTCTGCTCCATGCTGATTCTTTTTAAGTCCAGGGGCTGCCGTGATGGTAAAA